TATAATGTTGATGTTTTAAATAATTATAATGATAGAAATTAAAACATTAAGCACATAAATTTTAAAAAAATTAATTAATAACAACAACTATAAATAACATTAAACCATATATTATATTTAATTTTATTAATGTGTAACTCGCGGGTAGAATTCATTAAAACGATTGAGATTATGAAGTTATAATAGATGTATACATTATCATATAATTCAAAATAATCAATATATTATATCAATTTAGTATACGAATTATTATATCAAATTTAACAACAACGTTATTGTTATATTTAAAAAAACATATATTTGTAAATACTTCAACTATATAGGTGTTTCTGCGCATTACAATGTCAACTTAAATATAAATTTCAGTTCCGCTTAAAAAACCAAAGAATATTTTGTAAATAGTTAAAAGTGATACATTGTAGTGATAAATGCAAAAACTTAATTGTAATCTCAATTTAACTACGGTATTTCCTAAAGATATTTTTATAATCGTTAAAAGTTTCCAAATAAGTAGCTTAAAATAACTTATAATAACAATAGTTAAAAATATATCTATATAAATGATTATATTGTTACCTTTAAAATCAAAAAATAATGTTTCATGTTTTAAATAATTATAATGATAGAAATTAAAACATTAAGCAAATAAATTTTAAAACATTAATTAACATTAAACCATATATTATATTTAATTTTATTTATGTGTAACTCGCGGGTAGAAGTCATTCAAACGATTGAGATTATGAAGTTATAATAGATGTATATATTATAATATAATTCAAAATAATCAATATATTATATCAATTTAGTATAAAAATTATTATATCAAATTTAACAACAACGTTATTGTTATATTAAAAAAACATATATTTGTAAATACTTAAAGTATATAGGTGTTTCTGCGCAACGCGCGGGCATTCACCTAGTATCTTATAAAGCTAGCATTTTTCCTTAAACCTCATGCATTTGAAACTCCCAATACTATATTGAAGCATTTTTGTTTAAACCACATTCATTTGAAACCCCTGTCTTTTAACTAATACAACTCAAAAGTCTTCTTAATAATGATTTAACACTCAAAGGTTTTATAACTTATATTATGTTTAATAAGCACTTAATGAATCGGTTACTATAAAAAGATCAATCTTTTGGGTAGACATGTATACAAATCACATACAAACTTCATAAAGAAAACAAACTTAAAGGTTTTTGTGTTGGTTTGAGGTCTTATGACCACTTTTCGAGATATATTATTATGCTATTGCTTTTAATTTGTAAGTTTGTTATATAGTAATTATTTTTATATTTTTCTTGGTTTTGGATTTTTTTAATACAATTCTTGTATGTTGTGCTTTAATCGTTAATATATATATTAGATCATATAAATGTTATTGGTCATATGTTATATATTGTGATATGGAAAATATTTAATTAGATATGTTAAATATTATCGTTTGTTTTGTACCGCTTCAGAAAAGTAACTAACTAAAAGTCGTGAATATTTTAAATTTTCCATGTAAATCTGAAAGATATATGTTTCTTTTTACCGTATATATTTGAAACTCTCATTACTTTTCAATTTCTTTATAATAATGATTATACATTGGTTAATAATGTTAAATATGTGTAAAACGCTAATTGTAATCCTAAAATTAACTAAATTTGACAACATATTTTACTTCTACTTAGTTTTGATATGTTATTTCTTAAATTGTCAGTTTAAAGTCATAACTTTTGAATAATTTGTATACAATACTTAAATTTTTAATTTAAATACAAGGTTTAAATATTAACTTAAATGAAAATACGATTAAAATTAAACAAAATCCAATGACTATTTTGTAAATAGTTATAAGTTATAAATTATAGAATTAAACGTAAAAACTAAATTGTAATCCCAAATCAATTAAAATATTTCCTAAATCTATTTTTATAAACATTAATAATTTCTAAATAAGTACCTTACAAATAACTTACAATGATAATAGTTAAAAGTAATATTGTTACCTTTAAAAACAAAAACAATGTTTGATATTTTAAATAACTACAATAATAGAAATTAAAAATCTAATCAAATGTAGTTTTTAGAATCTATTTTTTAAACTAATTAATTATAACAACAACTATAAATAACATTAATTCATAAAACTCTATTTTTATTTTATTTATGAGTAACATCCTGATAGAGTCCACTGAGACGATTAAGCCTATATAGTTTTAATAGATTTAATATGATCATATAATTCAAAATAATCAATATTTTATACTAAATTATTATAAGAATTATTATATCAAAGTTAACTATGACATTTTTATATTTAAAAAACATATATTTTAAATTTATATAAATGATGCATTTTTACTTGCACCACATGCATTTGAAACCTCCATGATTTTTCAATTTCTTTCTAATAATTATTATAAATTGGTTAATATTGTTAAATTAATGCAAAAACTACATTTTAATCATAAATTAACTAAACTACAATATTAAAATATTATATTTTACTTTTATTTATAAAATTATGACTATGATTTTTTAAAATATTATAGTTAACTTATTAGTTTAGATATTTGTTGTAAGTGAACATTTGTCATTTGAAAGTCACAAATTTTGTATAATTTATGATTTTATGCAATATAGTTAAATTATTAAATTCAATACAATGTTAAACAGTTAACTTAAATCAAAATTTTAGTTAAACTGAAAAAAATCTATAAACTATTCTATAAATAGTTAAAAGTTATAAGTTATAGTGTTAAATCTAAACTGTAATCTTAAATTAACAAAAAAAAAACCATGAAACTATTTTTTATAATCATTAAAATTTTTGAAATAAGTAGATTAAATACAACTTACAATAAAAATAGTTAAAAGTAACATTATATAAAAATTTATAATGTTATCTTTAAAACCACAAACAATGTTTGTTGTTTTAAATAATTACAATCAAAAGAAACTAAAGATATTCATCAAATAAATTTTAAAAAAGTTAAACTTCTTAAACCAAATTAAAATAATTAAGAGTTTTCAAATACGTTATTTAAAATAACTTACAACAACAATAGTTAAAAGTAAATAAACTTTTTAAAATTAACAATGTTTGATGTTTTAAATAATTATAATGTTATCTTTAAAAACAAAAACAATGTTTGATGTTTTAAATAATTACAATGATAGAAATTAAAATCTTAAGCAAATAAACTTTTTAAAATTATCTAATCATAACAACAACTATAAATATCATTAAACCATATATTGTATTTAATTTTATTCATGAGTAGCCTGCAGATATAAGCCATTGAGAAAATTGAGATTATGGAATTTTAAAAGATGTCTACATTATCATATAATTCAAAACAAACAATGTTTATATCAACCTATTATAATATTTATTATATAAGAGCTAACAACAACATCACTGATATATTTAAAAAACATATATTTGTAAAGATTTCAAATATATTGTTGTATTCTGCGCAACGCGCGGATATTCGCCTAGTATACTTATAAAGGAAGCATTTTTCCTTTCACCGCATTTATTTGAAACTCTCATGACTTTTCAATTTCTTTCTAATAATAATTATAAGTTGGTTAATAAGATTAAATAAATATCAAACCTAAAGTGTAATCATATATAAACTAAATTTCAATATTAAAAAAATATCTTTACTTCTACTTATAAACTTATGTTTTTTAACTTTTAACATATTATACTTAATTTATTAGTTTTAATATATTGTTGGATGTGAACCATTATCATTTTAAAGCTACAACTTTTGAACAATCTGTATAAGATACTTAAATTATAAAATTTAAATATAACATTACAGGATCAACTTAAATATAAATTTTAGTATAACTTAAACAACCCAAAGAATATTTTGTAAATAGTTAAAAGTGATAAATTGTGGTGTCTTTATAATCACTACAAGAAAAAGGGGTATCAGAGACTGACATATTCAGTATTTGATGGTTAATAATCAGTCTCTAATGAGCATCAGGGACTGATGTTTCTAGTCCTAAGCTAGTCCCAGAAACCTAGTCCTATATAGTGTTTTTTTTTTATATTTGGGACTGAAAATCAATCCTTAATATGTAAAAGTATCAAAGACAGATAATCAGTCCCTGATAATATCAAATTCAGTCTTAAATGTGTTTTCTTTAAATCCACGATTTCAAATAAGATCAGTCCCTGATAATAACTTTTGGGGACTAAAAATGAGTCTTACATACTATATCATTCAGTCTCCAATACGCTTCATTAAAATCCTTACTAAGTCATATCAGTCCCTGATAGTATCTATTTAAGACTGAATATTATCATCAAATATTATCATCTTCTGTCTCTAACCTGATTTTTATTGACTGAATATCAGTCTCATATACACTTTCATTCAGTCCCTAACCCGATTTTTAGTTACCGAATGTCAGTCTCAGATACATTTTCATTTAGCCCCTAACCAAATTTTCCAGTAACTGAATGTCAGTCTTAGATAGAATTTCATTTAGTCCTAATCTGGATATTTAGTGACAGAATATCAGTCTCAGATACAGTGTCATTTGCTCCCTAACCAGATTTTCTAGTGACCGGATTTTAGTCTCAAATATAATGTCATTCGATCCCCAACCTGCTATAGTTTCAAACCAAAGTTTAGTCTTAAACTAACATTTATAGTGACTAATATAAACAATGTGCTTGTTAATACACCAAATGAACTAGTACTAGATAAATAAACCGTAATTTAGACATCGTATCCAAATTTAAAACAACAAACAAAAATGTCTAAGAAACTAGTCAATAGCTAAACCATACGTGAAAGAAGTTCCAAATTTTAATGAACAGTCATGAATGTTACGCTTTCTATGCTTGCTCTGATAGATCTGTTATGTCATTGTACGCACGGGCTTCATCTTCATGGGGTGGACATAATATGTTTTGAGAATCCGGGAACTTCGAGATAATAAACTGGAGCATTTTTTCACATTTTTCCTCACTTTATTTGACTTTCTGTTCGTTTATTTGAACCTCCTCCTCAAGTGCAACAATCTTACTTTTCATATCTTCTTCGTCTTTTGAGGCTGGTTGAGATGTTTCTGCAGTTGATAAGAGATGTATATCTTTTTTCCTCATAACAGGTCCACTTGAAGCCTCACATCCAGATAGTAATGTTTTATGTTTGGCACAAACAGTTTTAACTTTTAATGACTTTTTTCTCTATGTCATATTCCATTTCTTGAGTAATGCTTGTTCCCGTCGAAACTAATTTGGCGTATTCTTCCTCTTTGAGTTGGAGAATATTTTCCTAATACAACATAAAAACATACTATAATAACTTATAACACCAATATCAATATATTATAACTAAAAATCAATATTAGTCAAGATATCATTCTTACGTATTGAATGTGTGACTCATCATTTATCCATTTCTTTATAGGATGAAAATGCAACTTATGATATAATTCGATTGGGCTGGGGGGGATCCGAGTCTCTTTATTTGTCTGCAATAATAAAGATTAATATAAGTAAAGGTAAAAAATAATTTTTATTGAATATATTAATTAAAATATGAATTAATTTGATAGTTTACCATGGCAAATTTGTGATTTGCTATCGATCGTGAGCCTCCTCTACTTGGAATAACAAGTTTTCCCTGATTATGTTTCATTTGTTCAGCATATTGCTACAAAATTTGAACTATACGTGGTTAATAATATATAAATAAGAGTTAATTACATAAAATATGTGTATGTGCAAGATTGAGAGAAATTTGTTGGAGGTGTATATTTTTGTGTAGTTGACAACGCATGTTTTATAATACTACAAGACATAGAGTAAGAATTCTAAGATGAAATTATAAGGTTTATAGAATTTAATAATTACCTTCGCTTTATCCGATTCCCACTAATTGCACAAATAACCCCAATCTTCTTCGCTACGACAATTTGGCTTCATTTTAGATCTTGCTAATTGTGGATCTGTCATTCCTCTATTTTTCTTCCAATAATCTTTGAAAATATTTTGTGTGCGTTTCCATTGCCTCCGCATTTGTTCATCTAAATACTCCATCAGAACTTTATCTTCGTGCGGTAATTCAAAATTTTCCTACATTTAATACATAAATTAAAATTGAACGTTATTAATAAACTTTTAATAATAAATCACTTCCATTTATGAATTTTAAATTTTGACAAAAAATGAATAGATTGAGGAAAATGATATATAACTTACATGTAATCTGTTAATCATTTCTTCTTTATTTTCTTTTGCTACTTTCTCCCATGTATGGAATTCCATTTGACAAAAGCTCCGCATCACAATTCCAACCTCCGTTTCAAAAGATATTGTTGAATCTCCAATGAATTTCTTTGTATAGGTATCTCTTGTCAATGTAATTCGAGCATCAGGTTGATTTTCCAAAATATGTGAAACCTTTTTATTAATATTAGGGCTCGCCTCCGCCTCTGTGGTTGATCTACACGACATAAATTATACATCATCTTATGCATAATTTGTAATATCATAAATAAAAGAATAAATTGTCTACTATTTACTTGGAACCACTTCCTCTGAGGCTAATGAAGTCGGTTGAGTATTTTCTCTAGAACCACTCCCTCCTGTTGTTATAGTCACATAAGCGTGTAAGTGGATAGCATAAACGTAGTTAAAAAAACATGGATGGTCTACTATACATGTATTGCAAATACACAAAACATTGTTTGAGTGGTCAAACTAAGGGTACACTAAAATATGAATGTTATAGACCTACAATCACTTTTCATACTTACTGTATAAAAAATAAAATAAAAAGATTTCTAGGAATTAATTCATTTAACTCACAGAGATTATCACAAAGAAAGAAAGAAACACAGAAATCACAGCAGGCCTATAATAATAATAATTATGTTGGTTGGTTGTTTTCAGATTCAGTATCCGGAGAATGTTCACTTTCACTGTGAAACACAGACGCTGTAGCACATAAACTAAAAGCATAGAGAATTAAAAAAATATAAACTTAATTATGTACAACATAATACATATTTAGTATAATATATTGAATATTATATGGTCTTAATACGTTAAAATTCAAAGGAATGATTCCCAACAAGCACTTGTAGGTTGACAGAAAAACATGATACAGAGGAGGAACTAATTCACTTAATTCACAAAGATTATCACACAAAATAAACAAACATAGAAACCACAGCAGGACATGGATAGAAAAACATGATACAGAGGAGGAACATGATAAAAGAACAAAACAGGGGAAAATTTTCCCAAAATTTTCTGGGAAATTTTGCTTGTACTCCATGATTTGTTTAGAAAAACGTGAATAAAACTTAATTAAAAAGTCATAGATACATATCCTATTCATACTAAACCAAAACAAATCCAAATCTAACACTAAAACTAAACATAGGATAGTTTTTCCCAAAATACCCCTGGGTCAAACCTGTCCTAGATTTTGATTATTCAAACAGATGCAATGAAAGGAGGTAACAATTATGGAGTAAGGATAGACAGAGACGAAGAGATATAAACTTAATTGACGGATAGAATTAATACAACAAACAAAGGATTTCGTTTTCTTTTTCAGTTGTCTTCTTTGGAAATCACAGTGGAATTCATGCTTGATTTTTTATGGGTTTTTTTTTCTGATAAAGAAAGAAAGCCTAAAGCTCTATAGATATGATTGATGAAAAGAAGTCTAAGTTTGGGTGTTCTCGTTTTCATCAAACAAAGTGGATATTGATGAAATCTCTTTAGTTCTTTGTGATTCTAGTCTCGCAAAATCAAATAACATTGACCGAACAAAGAAGCCACGACCAACATAAAATCAAATAACAAAAGCTAATGAAGCAAGAGAGAAGATGATTACTTACCTTAGATCGATGAATGTTTCACGAATAAATGTATCTTGTAGCCTTGGATTTCGATGCTTGTAGAGTTCCTTTGGTAGTAGTTCCTCTCGTAAGGTATTGATAAGGTTTAGTGTTGGCTAAACCGTTCGTCTATAGATTTCAGAATTATTGATTTCGGGAAGTGATTGTAGTCTCGTTAATTTTGCAATTTCATTTGATTCAGTTATGTGATCCATAATTCCATATCCACGCTTCTCTTTTCTTCTCTTCTCTTTTTTTCAATTTTTATATGATTTAATAAATTCATGGATTTTGATCATTGTTTATATAATTTTTCTAAATTAGTTAGTTTTATGAATTGATTAAATTTTGAAAGTTAAACTTACTGAATCAATAAATTTGATAAAATTTAAAAGTTATTGAATCAAACTTAGCATTCCAAAATTCTTCAATTGGTTCAGGTAATATTATATTTCCGACTTATAAAATGGTTTAGGTAATATCATGTTTCCGATTTATAAAACAAAAATTGTAGCATACAATTGAAATATTTTTCTTATTATTTATAGATTACTTTCAATTTTATTCTTTAAATTGAAAAATGCACCATTTTTCCCCACCCAATTATTATTGCCATTTGACCGAACCCGACCATATAAATAACCACTAGTAATCCTATATAAAAAAAACTATAGATCTGCCATTACAAATCCCCCCACCACTACCACCTAGCCCTGCCTTTACATACAAACTCACACGAACACCATACCCTATCCTACCATATCCTAAACCCCCAAATACACCCATCCCTAACCATACCTACCCCTACCTGCATATACACCCACATGTACCTACCCCCACATGTCCCTAGACCACCCTACCCTGACCCAAAATACATATATCTTCTCGCCTTTACCCTATATACCCCATGTGTACCCGACCCCCACGCCCACCAAAATAATGAAAGTATGTTGCTATTCACCCTCCTCGCTACATTGTATAGGTTCCAACTTGAAAACTATTCACCAAAACGAATAGTATCATACCATCCCTTGCTTTGGGTAGTAAAATTCGTGACTGATTCCTCAGTCTTTAATATATCATATATGTGATTAAGTAACATGTCTCAAAGAATAAATTTCAGTCCATAAGGATTTTCCCTCCAAAGTCAAAAATAGGTATTTTATCCTAGACAAAACTTCAGTCCCTAATAAGTTTCCTTCCAAATACTATTTGTGGCTAATTCATCAGTCTCTGATATATGACATCTATGACTAACTACTCAATCTTAGATACTAAAATACAGTCAGTTATAAGTGTTCATTTGAATGTCAAATAGTACATGTCCGTTAGGGATTGAAATTTAGTCTTTAGAAAGTTTCTCATTCAAAGGAACAATCGATACACTTGTATCAGTGACTGAAATTCAATCCCTCATAAGTTCCTTACACAATCAAAACTGACACAAGTCTATCAGGGACTAAAATTCAGTCCCAAATAACTTTCTGTCCAAATTCAAAATTGGCGATAGCCTATTCGAGACTAAAATTCAGTCCCCAATGTGTTTCCCACCAAACCTAAACCGACGCAAACTGATTAAGGATTGGGTTTTAGTCTCTAATAGGTTTCATCGGTCTCTAATGAATCATACATTAAAATCAGTCCTAGATAATATCAAAGACTAATTCGTCAGTCCTAGATACATGGTATACAGGACTAATTAATCAGTCTCTGATATGTTAGTCACAGATGCCCCTTTTTCTTGTAGTGAATAATGATTATAAGTTGGTTAATAAGGTTAAATAAATATCAAACCTAAAGTGTAATCTTAAATAAACTAAATTTCAATATTAAAATAATATCTTTACTTCTACTTATAAAGTTATGTCTTTAACTTTTAACATATTATACTTAATTTATTAGATTTAATATGTTGTTGTATGTAAACCATTATAAATTTAAAGCTTCAACTTTTGAACAGTTTAGACAAAATACTTAAATTGTTAATTTAAATATAACATTACAGTGTCAACTTAAATATAAATTTCAGTTCCACTTAAAAAACACAATGAATATTTTGTGAATAGTTAAAAGTGATAAATTGTAGTGCTAAATGCAAAAACTAAATTGTAATCTCAATTTAACTAAAATATTCCCTAAAGATATTTTTATAATGGTCAAAAGTTTTCAAATAAGTAGTTTAAAATAACTTATAGTAACAATAGTTAAAAATAACCCTATATAAATGATTATATTGTTACCTTTGAAATGAAAAAACAATGTTTGGTGTTTTAAATAATTATAATGATAGAAATTAAAACGTTAAACAAATAAATTTTAAAAAATTAATTAACAATAACAACAACTATAAATAACATTATACCATATATTCTATTTTATTTTGTTCATGAGTAACTCGTGGGTAGAAGTCATTTTAACGGTTAAGATTATATAGTTATAATAGATGTATATATTATCAAATAATTCAAATATCAATAGAATTATATCAATTAGTATATGAAATGTGATAAATATCAAATTTAACAACAACGTTATTGTTATATTTTAAAAAATTTCAACTATAAATGTGTTTCTACGCAACGCGCAGGCATTCCCCTAGTACTATATTATAAATGAAGCATTTTTTCTTTCACCGCATTCATTTGAAACCCCCAACTCTTCATATTTCCATATAATATACTTAATTTATTAACTTAAATATGTTTTTAGTTGTAAACATTATCATAAATGGAAGACATTGTGACTTATGAATATGATATACTTAATTTGTTAACTTCAATATATTGTTAAATAAATAACCTACATTAAAATATAAAATAAACTTAAAAATTTAGTGTAAAATTTAAAACCTAAAGTAAAATATCAAATAATGTTTAAAAAAGTATATTCAATACATATATTTTTTAACATAGTTAAAAGGAAAACATTAAATATAATAAATATAAAAGAATCTAAATCGATAGATCGAATTAACTAAAAGGTTTCTAAAAACTATATTTTATAATAACTAAGATTCAATTCAGTTGTTTTTAAATTAATTTATAATAATAATAGTTAAAAATAATAGAAACTTAGAAATTAAAATATGCTAGATTACAAACAGTTGTTGATAATTTAAATAATCATCATGATGAAATCAAAACACCGTTTTTTTTTAAATTAATAAATCATAACAATAGTAAATTAAAATAGTTGACAAATATAACTAATGTTATACACATGTAAAACATGAGTAGAGACCATTAAATGATTTGATTTTAATAAGTGTTATTTTATCTATTGTTCAAATTAATTATAATTTTATATAAACTAAATGTAATAATTATTATTTTATAGTTAATATAAATGATATAAATATTTTCAATAACATAAGATTACCAAATGTTTTAATTTTATTCTGCGCAACGCGCAAATATTCGCCTACTACTATACTATAAAGGAAGCAATTTTCCTTTCACCACATCAATTTGAAACTCCCAACTCTTTATATTTCCATATAATTTACTTAATTTATTAACTTAAATATGTGTTAGTTATAACATTATCATAAATGAAAGACTTCTTAATTATCAATATGATATACTAATTTGTTGACTTCACTAT